CAAATTAAAATGGATGGCTAATTTCCTACTCTGGTTAAAGGGACAGGAGGCTATAGAACTAAGAGGTCATAATGTTATAAATTTATAAATGAATGAATTCAGTCCCATTCAAAGCAGAGGTGCATACAGGGGCGGAGCTACATGGGCACTGGCTCCAGCTGAAAGCTGATTGGTCCCCAGAGTGCCCCCTCCGCTGTCACTCCAAATTCAAAACATATCATTAGCTATTGATAATGTTGGTTTGTCTGTATGAATTGTGGCCCATCTTATGTCCCCCACCATAAAAATTTCCTCTGACTTTCTCAAATATTCAAATGGGCACTTAGTCATTGGGACATGTAAACCAAACACTGAATTCAATAGAAAAGTGTACAAGATTGCGAGGGGCAGAGGGAAACCGCAAACTTTAAAGAGCTTTTAAACAAACAGACAAAATTAGGTCAGTATAAACCTAGACACGCAAAACAATGTGCGCGCAAATATTTCTGCTGGAGAAGCCGTTTTAGTGCAGCAGGTGAAACTGTGAAGTTTTAAATGCTAGAATTGTAAAGCTCTATCCTGTCAGCCCAACGGCTTCGGAAAGGATGACATGAATTCCATATCATAGCCTACACTGGATGCAAGGGTCTGCTCTGAAAATAGCTAAATGGTAGAAATCACTGGCAAAAGGGGAACAGCTTAAATATTAAGCATCCGGCACACGACAGTAAATAAGCAAAGGTGTTTTAGGGTAACATCTGATGGCCAGTGACACAGAAACTCTCCCATAGTTAAAAATGCAGAGTATTGAATGTCATTAGCTATTAATACAGCAATATATCGTATAAGATTATATCATGTGTTCCTGTATTTACAGGTACCAATCGAAGTGTAAGGAAATGCCGCTTACCCTAAAGAATTCTTTGGTTGAGCCTGAGTCTAGCGTTCCATAAGCAATCTCTGTTTGCTTAGCTAGGTCCTCTGCACTCTCAATGGGCGACACCATCCTCTCGACGGTCAGGAAGGCAGCTAAGTTAGCCGTGTAGGACGATATAATGATCAGGGTAAAGAACCACCACACTCCGCCAACAATGCGGCCAGAGAGGGATCTATTGACAGACGTGGGATGAATTCACAGGGATGAAGCAGAAGTCAAAGGGTTAGTAGGTTCGCAGGGATCCGGACAAGCAGAACAATTAGCAAGAGGAGCAGTTCAGGCAGGATTTTGAGAAAGTCTCACTGAAACCAACGACCAGCTGCGCATTTCCAGTCCCTACCACGGCACAAAACCAATAACCCTGCAGGATTTACTTCCAAGCATAAACTGTGAATATAAGCAAAACGAAAGACACTTTGAAGCAAAGATATAACTAATCAAATTAAGAGATGTCTTTAAGGTGAAGTAACAATATTACTAAATATTCACTATACAGTGAACAAAAATTTATAAAAATTATATACACATGCCAAAAATGAAATAGCCAATAATAACAAATATACATCTATATGTAGACCAGGACGAAAGCGTGGAACAGAGAACTTATCAAGATAAAAAATATCACGGAACGTGATGCTGTCATAACTGAGTTTAGCTATGACATAAAGCACAAAACAGCACAGACATTGACAGTAAATTGGGACTTATAAAGCGGCCATGATGTAACTGGAACAAGTCATTACTCGTCTGATCGTTTCCCCCTTCAGATTGGAATGTTAATCGACGGTTTGCAGATAAGATCTGGAAAAGCACAGCTAACATGAGAAAATAAATTAATTAGCCTGAAGTATACTGCAAAAAAACAGAGCAGGAAGCTGAAAACTGTTGTTAAGTAAAATAAAACCCTTGGCATAAGTTACCGTCAAGTTGCATTTGTTGTTGAAAGGTGAAATGTATGGGATCAAATGTAAATGCTTGTATAACTCAGAAACACAATATTCTAATATGTTAGATGGAAAAACAAAGGTGCTCTTTCTGTGGTTTTGGTTGCTCTAAACAAAATGGTGGTGCTAGCAAACATCATGGAGGATAACGCAAGCAGTGCCAGGTCTGGCTCGCACCCCTGGAGCTGGAGGTTATGAAGCCAACTGAGGGAAGAAGGTAGGTGTTGACATTCATCACGGAACCAACAGCAGGTCTAAGAGACAGTGCTGCAAGGCCGCACGTTGGGAATATGCGATAAAAACACAATAACCCTCCCAAGGAGCAAATTGAGAGCAATTTTATGCATCTAGCGGCCTGGACTTGGTGTATTCATGCTCACAGAAGGAACACTCAATTGGAGTCAAAATTAAGAAGGGCACCTCAACAGAATAGAATTTGTCCCATGTCTAGTCTTTGTTACGGTTTGGTCCAAACCTCTAGTCCTTAACAGAGAATGGTATCCATACAAGGGAGGATTTGCAGGAGGTAAATAAATATCCGGCTGCAAACCTTACATGCACAAAGTCGAGAAGCACGAGAGACAAACCTTGGCGAAATATCACATCCTTGCCGCATAAAGGCACCAAGGGAAAACCAGAGACTATTAAATATCCCAAACTCGTTAGTCGATTCGGTGGTTGGCATCTGTCCATCTTCGTACTCCTCGGTATGCCACTCATAGGGGCTGAAGCGACTGACTAGAAAGAGGACCACGCTGACCCCGATGTAAGCGAACACGATGCACATCCAGATCTCATAAGCCAAGGGGTCTAAGAAGGAGAACACTCCCGGCTTGGACTTCTGCGGCTTCTTAATCATGATGGAAATCCCCAGACTCATGAAAGGCTTCGAAAAGTCAATCACTTCTTCTCGTACCAAGGTGATCGTTAACGGAGCCACCGCTATGTCTGCTTTCTGCAATTAAAAGGAGAGGAAAGTTCAGATCTCTGAAATATAGTACCACCAAGGTCACAAGACGTGCGTTTTTCGTTTCTTGACAAATTTTAGTCAATTCATTCAAAGCCGCTATAAATATGAATTTAAATAACGTTAAAAATAAGTTTTTGTCAAGCGGAGAACAGTTCCCTTTATTCCCTTCTTTGTCTCCTTAATCACAGGCAAATAATTAAAATTAAACAAATTTATCATGCAAATTAATCATAAGCTGGCGCAGTGGTGACATCATGTTGATACTGAGTTTGGCCCTCACCCCATACACTAACTCTCCAACCATCCCATTCCAGATCTTTGTCTCTGCATCTCTGGCCCCGTATTTCCCATCAGCCACTATTCTCAGCTGGTACTTGAATCCGCAGTGTTTCGCTATCTCAGCAGCAAGGTCCACGCAGTAGCCCTCATATCTGTCATTGTCGATGAACAGTTCAGAGTTCTTCTTAAGCATCACATATGGAGCTTCCTAAAAAAATACAAACAAACAAACATCCCACAAATATTGCATTTCTGTGTCGTTTTTTCCTATATGGGGAGAAGCAACCTTGCCATAATTGTTGGCTCTGGAATCTCATGATTTCTCTCATACAGCCTGAGTAACGTTCCACAGGTGTGGACAGCCCCCCCCCCCCCCCAGAACCACCCAGACAAAGCTGAGAAACAAACTATTACCAAAATCGTTGTCACGACTACAGTCTTGTTGTCCATTCCCAACGAGTCGTTTCCGCCCATTTCGGATTTTATCACGACCATTTTGTCAACTTCGTTCCAATATCCAATCTAAAATAAAAAAAATATTCATATTTATAAACATACACATATAAACAAACACTGTACAATAAGACACTGCAAATAGAGAAGCAGGGCCGATCCAGGTATAGTCAATCTAGGCGAAATCTCCCAAACAGGACCGCCCCCTTCCCCCGATTGGCCAAATCTATCGCAGAGGAACCAATCCCCCCTTATATTCTGGCCATGGGGCTGCCTAGGGCCCCTGAAAAAAGCAGATCCGGCCCTGCAGAGAAGCGTAAGGATGAACGAAATTTATTTACCATTAGGATTGGCAATAGTGAATATTAATCGAATGGATCAGCTAATTTGCGCTCTGGAGAACAGGGTAAAAATAAAGTAATAAAAAGCAGTTGGATACAGTAATAACAACTACAGGTTTGTCAGACTCATTATCATCCAGGGCCAAAATAAGATTTTACCTTCACGGGACCATTGTTCTTCAACTCCATGATACCAACTGTGTAGTTGATCCTTCTGCCGTTTACGTCAAACTGGATGTTCCCGGTTAGGCCCTCCACACGGACCTGTTTGGCAGGGATAATTTGGTAATAGTGCTTCCTGTCAAGCGGCACATATGCCCCCCCTCCACGAGCGGCCCTTGTTTTCCCTTCCCAGGGAGCGAGGGCATGAAGCGGTAAAGCGAGTCGCGCAGCGGGCCTATGTGTTTATCCAGAGAAGCTTAAAAAGCCTTCTCCTCATCAGAGGGCTCCCTAAGCGGATCGCGCTCATTACCTTACCAGACAGCACATTAATAGGGCCAACTAAAGCACAGGAAATGGGCCCACATCACCTGTTTGAGTGCCCGTTCTATTTCCACGCCCTGTACCCAGGGAACGGCGGGATTGGCCAGGCAGTCGCCATTATTGCCCCTCCTGGTGATGTCGATCTTCTGCTTGTGCAGGTGACGGAACGCCTCAGTCATCACCTGCACGGAGTCGTAGGTCAACGCAGATGTGTACTGTGCCGGTGAGTGGGTGGGAGATGGGGAGTAGAGGACAGGGACGGCGTAAGACCCAAAGTCACAAACTCAAGTCTTAATTACGTAACTGTTGCCAGAACAGATCCAAAATGTCTCACCCGAATTCTGCTGTCAGACCCAGGATACTCTTTCTCTTCTAAAGCCTCCCATCTCTGATCAAATTTGGCCACCACGGGATTATCAAAATCCACAAGCTGAAATCCGGATACGTTTGCGCCCCCATACTGAATTTTTGATAAATCTCCATCTATGAAGCCCTGAGGAAGAAAACAAAAGTTAAGCGAAAATGTGCATTAAACACTTATGTAACGGCTGGTATTTTTGTTTCGTAATGTTTAACGATTTCATTAACGATTCCTTGAACTTTAGATTCGAAGTATCTGCTTCTGAAAATATCCAGCGAAGAAATGGACTACCAAGTTTGCGATGATGTAATGATATCCCTTAACGTGTCGTCCAATCGTGATAACCTAAAAAGGCAAGCATAGAGATCAAAGTTAGCTAAAAAAAAAATGCTATATTTCAGCAGTAGCCAAGTACATCTGGAAGGATCCAATTTTCTGTTTGGAGCTAGCAATCATTGGCACCATACTGAAGAATTTAGTGGGATGATATGCGCGTGCTTCTACAAAATCTACGAGAGGGTATTACTGCAGATGTAATTGTGGCTTCCCAGAGCTTCAGCTATTGTATATTTCGTGCACAGTAGAAAAACCACTGGCAACCCGGAGAAACTACAGATAAAGACGTTACAGTCCATAAATAACCTTAAATACTGTTACTGCAAAGTGGAAAGCAATTTTATTTTATTTTTCGGCTGACTTTTAGATGTGTCCAAAGCCGTTTTTGCTGAATTATTACAAGAATATTACATCAATGTGTTTATGCACACAGTAACCTATCACAGTGTGACTAAACCTTCTATAGCTTTTTAAAGACATTTTTAAATACCATAATAAACAAAAAAAAAACAAAATAAAAGCATATAAACAAAAAACAAACTAAATAAAAGCATATAAACAAAAAACTAACTAAATAAAAGCATATAAACAAAAAACAAACTAAATAAAATAATTCCTTTACGAGAAGTCTTGCATTTCAATTAAACACACAGCGAAAGCAGAGTCAAACTAATTCCACACCTGGTCCATGATGTCTTTGACCTTGTCTTGTTCACAGTCCAGAATGACCCGCCTTTCCTTCTTAATCTCGAGGTCCTGGAAGAGCGAGCGGTAGGCCTCGTCCTTCCTCTCGTCCTTGAGGTTGCCCACATTGATGGCAGTCACCTGCCACTTCCTCTCAGCGGCGGTGTCCAGAACCACCTGGAGCGTGGAGAGCCCTGCATGGCCACAAATGACACGCTCTGTGTTGCGTAGCTGCCATCGTGCATTGGGCCGTCAATCGTGCATTGCGAGTTCAATATGTTCCAGTAAACAAATAAATAAATAGAATAAGCAGATCTATGAAAATGCATCTGTTCGACTGTCCTGTTTATTGCTTTTGTACATGTTGTCTCTAGATATCTTACCCAGGATGATCATGCCAAATGCATCTGAATCGGTTGTACATTCACATTCATAGTAAAACATTAAAGGAAGAGGATTTTTGGAAGATCTGGTAGTTTAAATGACAAGAATACAGCTATTTTATTCATGACTGTTCAGAAAGACAGACAGACAGATAAACAGAAATACCAAACTGTATATGAGGAACCTGTAGAAACACCAAAAGCTACCAATCAAATATAGACAATATAGTTATGTGAAGCACATATTTCTAGAGGTAAAGGCGTTTAATGCTCCCCACAAATCTAAGGATCTACAGCAATGTAGCAGTTAGACTGAATCACTCCCAAAGGGGCATCCTCCACCTCCAAAAACCTAATTTAATCACCCCTTAGACAGGAGACTGAAGTAATTTTCACGGTACCTGTGCCTCATTCACCAGTGTGATAATGAATCTAATTTATTTTGCTATTTCCCCCCGCATTCCCCCGACCCGGATAATCCATTCATACACTTCCCACAATTACTCAACATTCTGCCGCAGTCAGCCAATGAGCGGCGAGAGACGCAACAAAGCGTGGCGGCTCCACGCGGCGAGATTGAGCTATTTATTAAAGCCGATCCTCACAGGATTAAAAAAAAAGTCATTAAAAAATTAAATGGTACCCAGACGCGACATTAAAGCTTAAGCAAAGACGGTTTTAAAACACGGTTTTAGTCGTAGTGAGATTCGGAGCTTCGGCGAAGAAAGCCGAACAGGTCCGACGAAGCTGCCCTCGTCGACGCGGAAGCGACCGAGCTGCCATGCCGTCATGAGCTGCCGATACCCCGCTGAGCGGGATCGTGTCCAAGGGCCACATTCTGTCTCATTGAATCATGTACGGCACGGCTGGCCTCATTTCTAGGGCTTGGAAGCTCGCGTTTACAGACAGTATGATACCACATGACGCTAAACCTCTCAGGTGAGCCAGGTCCTTAGAAAAAAAACCCATCATAAATCCCGTGTTAGTCATACCAGAAATGCACTGTGCCACAGAATAAGGGATCAAAACTTGGCAACGATACATATAATATTGATATTCTGAATAACAGTTCAATGTCAGTGTTTTCCTAATCATGCTGAGTAGAACATTATTCAAAATCTCCTCTCTGATATTTATGGTCACTGTGTCCATCAGCCAATCTTCAACCAGCCTCATACCTCACACCAAATCCTAATTTATAACTAAGCATCTAATGGAATGCTGTGCACCTATTAACAGGCAGAATCGAATATAGGAAAGGACGATGTAAAGATTCTATGACAAAGCATTAAAACTACAGATTTCACAAAGGATGGTGACAGAAGACTACTTGTATGTTAAACTCATACATTTTGATCAATTTGTCAAAGGAATAAAAACATAAAGAAACTCCGGTAATAGTCTTCATGGTACAAGAACCTTGCATTGTTTTAGAAATGGTGCAACACAAAGTCGGGTCAATATCATGCATAAAATGGGGCCTGGTTCCGATTCGTGACGATATGCAGCCAAATGGATACAAGCATCAGCATGTTGCAGCTGCCAGCACAGAATGTCCAGCATCAACCCAACAGAAGATCCTCGTAATGAATTGATAGTCACTGAGCTACAGTACAGATCTGATGCTCCAGTGTAGCAGAGCAGCTTCCTTACAGTTATTTACACGGCAGATGCTTTTACCCAAAGCGACATACAAGCGAGGATCAGAGCGTAGGGTCAACCAGGGTTTCAGAGGCAATTGGGGTTAAGAGCCCAATGGTGATACGATGACTCTGCCAGCTACTGGACCTGAGGACAGGACCGTCCGGATATGGGCACAGATTCCTTACCCAGTGGGCCGCAAACCGCCCACTCACCGCACACTGCCGCTTCGGGGCCGGACTGCGGCTACTCGTCAGCAGCATCGAATGAGACAGTACTTGATAATTTGCCACAGCACAGTGAAATAGCAATTAAGCGATGGCCAAGCCGGGGCAATGCTATCAGCTTCTGCTCTTTGCATCTGCCAGGACTTTCCTCTCAGGACAGCATAGCCTCTCAATGGGCAAGAGTGTGTCTGTTCTGAATTTTGGAAAAATGTGCAATCCCTATGTCCTGCGATGGGCTGGCGCCCCAACCTGGGTTGTTCCCTGCCTTGTGCCCGTAGCCTCCGGGATAGGTTCCAGACCCCCAGCGACTCTGAATAGGGCAAGTGGTTACAGAAAATGAATGGATGGATGTGTACTCCTAGTGGTGAGAGTTCCTTCATAAGCACAACAATGAAATATGTCATTTGCACAACTACATATGAATGCTTCTTTTTTTATATCCTATCTTGCATGCACATGCACTGTTGAGATTGAGTCTTAGGGTCTGAGTGCAGGGTCATGTCATTTATACAATGCCCCAGAGCATTTTAAGAGATATGATAATCCTGCTGGGGGGTGGTATTCAAACCAGCAACCTTCTGATGACAGGCACATAGGCCTAACCCTCTGAGACAAACATCTCCCCCCCAAACAGCTGTGTGACAAAGGGGTTAAATGGATGCAAACCTCTCTGTCCTCGCAAGAAATCGTAAGAGCCCGTTCTGTTCCATTCAGGCATCATAAATCACCAAAAAGTAATTAACAATTATCAACTAATGGACATTCACCCCTCAGCCTGGAACATCTGCTTCATCTTCACTTCTTACAATCACATATCCAGAGTAAATCAGACAAAGAATATTTTCATTTCATGTTGTTTATCTCCATTTCAATAATATATGCGATATACGCAAATGACTTTCATATTTTTTTAATCTAACATTAGGTCTTTGAAAAGAATTACAAATCACAATACTGGAAACGTTACTGTAGTACAGAAGTATATGACAGATTATTTAGCTATTTTATGCATGAGTTGTTTTGATAACAGTTACGGAACTATCATCAGCTTCGCGGGCATTTTGACTGCGTCGGAAGAAAAAAAGTTACGACTAAAATGAACCGAAAAATAAATGTTAAACGGTCATTGCTTGTTTTGGCTGAGTAAATATGTGTTTTAATACAAACGAGCAGGGCTGTTCACGCAACATTAAATTCAATTTCTTCCCAGGCAATATCACAACCAGGCCGTGTTCCTGCTAAAGCAGGAAAGGCGAAATCAGCAAAAAATATTAAAAGCAACTAAGCAAAGGAGCAAACATAAGCATAACTTAATGCTAATAATGACGAGAGTACAGCATTCCTGACCATATGCTCATATCATATGTCTAAAAATACAAAGTTGCAAAATTGATCAGAACAAAGTCTTCATGCATATTATTGTTTTTGTAAATGTTGCATGTGTAAAGTAACACTACCAAATAAGCAATGGTTATTTATCTAACGACAAAATGTAGCATCGACTGGAGTATTGTACACAATTTCCAGTTGACTAAACAACTTCTCAGCAAACAGTAACTAAACTATATTTCTTTGTGACAGACGTTTATCCAAATATTGAAATTTAGAACGCCATTATTGATCCACTGTAAGTCTCTATGCCCGTAGTCTGAAGTTATAGTTACGCTGGTCGTTTTTCATGCTGGATATTTGTGTGCAATAATGATGTTTTCAGTGAACAGGTTTGGCAGTTCTGCTTCTTTATCAGGCAGGGTTATAACACACATAAACAGCAGAAGATGTTTGATGAAATCAATAAGCATCAATATATTCATAGTATGCTACATATAACATTCAGGGTTTTTCTGCTTGTCAAGAACATAAGCATTCACTGGAAGACTGCATTATGTTTATAAGAAAGCTGAAACCATGTTTTTGGAAGTAGGTTAAATCCTTCTGAGTATGATATATCACAAATGAATTAGGAAAAACACACAGCAGATTTGTTAATAGTCTGTTCATTAAATTACACAAACTATGTGTTCTATAGTGTCTTATTCCGCCATATATGGACAAGGGGAGGGCCAATGGGGAATGGAGGCGGGGCAAGTAATGAATAAGTAATTAATTAGTGACTTACCTCTGTCACTGTCGTACAGATAGGCAAACTTTTCCCATTTATAGTACTCTATCAAACTGAGAAGAGGTCCTTTGATGTCTGGTCGCATTTGTAAAATAAACTGCTGCAATCCATCCACAGGGAAGCTTGGCGTTATGAAGGAGACGTGCAGCGTTTCGCAAAACGACGTTATCGTGTTGACCGACTTCTTGTCGTAAAATCCGAAAATGGCATAAACACCTCTTGAGTATTGTGAACAGACTGCAAAAAAAAAGAAAACACATTTGCATTACTTTTAGCCATTAATAACAGCTGCATTTGGGACGTGCAACTTAATATATTGTGTAATACCTTTTAAATATTCATAATACTATAATTACTGCATTAAAACTCCCAAAATCAAAAGCAAAATCTTTTGAGGTGAGATTATTCAAATGAATCGGTGCAGTACTAATTGTTTAGAAACTAACTGTCATAGTGAACCAATGGACTTGTTTTCATGCACAATAATGTTAAGTCACTGTGTTGTTATATATACATAGTGTTTCGCATTAAACAGAAAGGCCAGTATATTTACATGATCAATGAAAAAAACGTTGGACGGTTATGACAATAACATTCAAACCTGTTCAGGCAAAATCTGCAATTTTGGGTACTGTCCATGAATCTACACTGTGGCTATTTCAGTGCAGTCAGGTTTATTGACTGATGAATATATTTAAACCTGCTAACTATAGATTAATTTCCCCTGGGACTAAACAATAGGCTTGGAATCCTTGTCTTTCTGACACTGACCAATAAAATGAAAGCTTCCCCCTGCCATTCAAGCATCAACCACAGTACTGAAACTGATATGGCATCACATTGGTCGTAATACTGACGTCCCCTGCCCTCCAAAATTATACGACGGCTGCCTGCCGTTTTCGCTTTTTGTTAAAGAATCTTTCCATTGAAATATAAAAGGTAACATTTCCGTTTTCATTATGATGTGATTGTCCATTTAAATGTAGAGCCTTTTTGAGAGCGTACAGAGTAATTCACATTGTTACTCTTCCATAGCTACTTACCTTCCTAGTGTAAATGCTAGTTTGGAAGCCCAACATGGTTTAATATAGGCTAAGGTGGTATTATGGTAATACGGTATTTTGGGTATACCGCGATATTTTGGCAAAATTTATTGGTGGGATAGCTTTCAAAAATACTGTCAAAATACCGAATACTGTGGTATGATGTCTGGATGGTATGGTGGTATGAACAATTAGATACTGCCCAAGTCTAGTATAATACCTATACAGGTATCTATACTATACGATGACATAATGCTTGACACCTCTGAAGCTTCCTTCATTGGCCTTCTCCAGCTTTTCTACACCAGTGGGATTGTGTATACCTTCTGTGAGGTTTCTGCAGAAGCAGACCTGTTGCCTTGTTATTTTAATCTTGATTTTGCTTAATCTCATCAATCAAGCAAGCAGATGCACATTAAAAAACAGACGAGGATAAACGTTGTTACGAGAAATTTTGAAAGACGCTACGTACTTAAGCACTGGTGTCCAGACCCCCACACCATGCCCAAAAGGTACAGCATCACCTAATGTTCCTACTGGAGTAATATCAAATGTAGATATTTAGCTGTCCTGATATGTCAGCTCAAGCAGGGAATATTTATTCTGCGAAATTATGTTTTTTTTTTGTGATTTCCAGAGGTAAGGGGCACATGCTAATTACACTGCATTGCCACACCCACCACATAACGAACCACCTCAGGAATGAGAATGAGTGCAGTGTGAGTCCCCCCCCCCCCCCGTGGCTGGAGTGCCAATCCTACCACCAACCCCCAGATTTCCCTGGAAGTTGGAGGACCTGCTTACAGGGCTGGATGTAGAGTGACATCATACCCATGATGGAGCAATTGCAGGTTAAGGGCCTCACTCATGGGCCCAACAGAGTAGGATCACTGCTGGCATTCTCAGGGTTTGAGCCAACAACCTTCCGATTGCTGGCACAGATCCCTAGCCTCAGAGCCACCCCTCCACCATTTCCAACAGGCTTGACATGAAACAACATGCTCTCTCTATATATACATATACAAAATAGTGCTGCTTTCTTCCTATACAACACACCACTGATACATTTCTAATATGTCATTACCCATAATCCTCTTAGGTCACTCCATCATTGATTTCTGTATAAGTTGTGACCCAGTAAAGCTTGTGTTTTTGTCTTACTACATGCACGCTTAGTTAAATGCATTTTTTTTAAAACAAATCCTCTTCAAGTTTAACTAACCTTGTCTTCATTACAACACTGAATAAATGGATGAATGACAGCTACATTTATATAGTGCTTTTCAAGCCACTCCAACCACCAGCACTGTGCAGCATCTACCTGGATGATGCAACGGCAGCCATTCTGCACCAATATGCTCACCACACAGCAGCTGAAGTGGTGAAGGGGCGGGAGAGAATTCACCAGTTAGATAAAGGGGGGTGATTAGGAATCCAGATCTGATAGGGCCACAGTGGACAATTTTAGCCAGAATATCTGGGTACCACCCCTACTCTTTCAAAAGAAGCCCAGGGATTTTTTTATGACCTCAGAGAATCAGGACCTCAGTTTTATGTCTCATCCGAAGGACGGCACCAATTTTATTACAGCACACTGTCCCTGTCACTGCACTGGGGCTTTGGGATCCACACTGACCACAGGATGGGCTCCCCCTGCTGGCCACATCAACACCTCCTCCAGCAGGATCCCAGCTTCCCTAGTTGGTCTCCCATCCAAGTGCTGGTCCGGCCAAAACCTACTTAACTTCAGGTGGATTACCTAGTCTGAACTGCAAGTGGTATGACACTGGAAAGGAAGCACCCATCTTTGCAATAGTTTTTGTCACATTTAGCGGAGGAACATTCACTTCTCCAGCACCGAATCCCGAGTACGTCACTCACAGACCAGCCATTATCATGTTTATGTGATTTCATCATTTACTTGGTCAATGTCAATGTTGTCAAATCAGCCTATAAAACACCTTTCAAAAAGCAAACCATAACTGATATACTGTATACAGAAAACGTAGCCAGAACATACACAGATATATTATACAACATGCAATATTAATACGTCTCAGTCATTTCAATTTCTCCCTCCTACAGTCTAAAAATATGCACTTTGGTGAGTTGGTGTCTCTAAATCGCCCATGCTTGTATTGTGTGTGTGAGCGTCCTGCTGCGGACTGTCCTGCCACCCAGGGTGTCACGTGCTTTGAGCTCTACACTTCCTGGGATAGGGTCCAGGACGGCCACGGGATTCAACTGAAGAAGTGCTGATGGATCAATGTATGATGTTTATAGGAACTGCAATGAAAGTGGACGCTTGCTTGAACACTTGAGACCACATTTACTAGTTTGCATCCAGGTTTCGCCTCATAGGGAAGTTCACGCTGTTTTTCACCCGCCAGGTCCGCGGGCCTTTTGCGAGCTTTCTGCCCCTACTCTGGCACGGGCTGTAGGGGGGCATGCGCAGCCCCACGGTCCCACACAAACACCTCCAGTAGTGCTTCTCAACCTTTTTGCAACACAGCCAAAATTTTACCATGCCAGCTCTGTCAAGGCCCTATATCAAGTACAGGTCAAAATTAACATCACGCTTGCTACAATTTGACAATTGAAAACAAATGTTACTCATATGAAATAAGCCATTCTAACAGTTTAAGTGGGAAAATGGGTTAATATATTGCAATAATAATACTGGAAAATCAACTTCTAAATGCCTCTGTGACAAGCAGTTCATCGCACAGAACAAACAATGGCTTGTGTTCACCATGTTTAACGATTGTAGGTAAAGCTAAACTTGAGAAAATCTGGGTCATACATCCTTTTATATTGATTCTTGTTCATAAGAATGTTCAGCAGAAGCCGGTGCTGCTTGGTCTGGTAGATTTCAAGAATTTGTCCATATTTATGCTAGCTAATGTTGTTGGTGGGAATTTAGCGCTATGATGAAGCACACAGTGCACTGTGTAATTTATGCCAATCGATGCCTATCGCACAAATCTGATTGGATGTGCCAGTGAATTCTAAATTAAGCATCTGTGGTGTGGTTTCTTGGATTGGTTGAGTGTTCGCTAGTTTTGCACCAAGCAGTTGCAGACCCAAGACCTGTTTATACTGGTTAATTCTAGAGCTGGGCTTGGGAAATCTGATCATAGATCAGCATAGGAGCTTGCTGGTTTTCAAATGCTTACATTTCCAACTCTGCCTCACTACCCTTTCAGAACTTGTTGAGAATCGGATTGAGAGTCGTTGACCTGCTGCATTAGAGGATTTTACTTTGTCATCTCGGTTGTCGATCTCAAATATAAAGAGTGTGGGTATAGATATACGATATTTCGGTTAACAAATCGGTATTGGGCAAAGTTGGCACAGTCTTGTTGATTTCTCCCTGCAAGTATTATATGATGTGGTTGCTGCAGACATTCAGGAGACTTTATGGAGCAATGTCACCAACATTAGTTTCACTACAGGATTCTGAAGCTCCGAGGTTAACCAGTTATTGGCATCTGTAATATTAGACAGAAATATAATGGTCATCGGTATCAGCCAAAATTTCCACATCGGTGAACCACTAAATGTGGGCATCGCTTATTCTGCCATACATTTTAATCAGTCAAAATGTTACCGTACCATTTCAATCAGGCATGAGAAATGGCCGCCCCATCTGAGATTTTGCCTGGATCATTGATTTGTCATTTAACCAGCATTTGTGCTATTCAAAGAGACCATTTAGTGTCACAGCACTATGGACAGCTCTCCAGAAAATTCTTTAATGCTTCTGCAAACGTGATTGATTAATTTTAGTCCTACCAACTACTGACGTACAAAATAATCGATACTGTCAGACTGCAGATGGCTTTTATACTAAGATGATACTGTTGATTCTTTTTATATTTGGCCATACCAGTACCCCTTTTAGGGCGTTTTCCAATCAGTGCTTCAGATTCTTCAGCGCAGCAATCCTGATTGGTTGGCCGCTTATTAAAAATGGATGAATGGACCACTAGAGTTTGTCTAGAGTTCATGTATAGGAGTAAAGGATTTCACAACAAAATGCCAAAATATTAAATACAGCATTAGCAAAACAGACTATTTAAAATGATTAAAGTCAGCAGGGAGGTTTGGGGGGGTCTTTGTGTAGCACTATTGCCTGGAACCCTCATGTGGGAGGAGTTTGAATGTTCTTATGTCGTGTCGGTTTTATCCAGGAACTTTTGGTTAACTCCCACAGTCCAAAGACGTGCATTTAGGTCAGCGAACTCTGCCCGTACCCTGAAGGTCATGTGATCAAATCCCCTGGCCTGCTGAGTAATCATATTACCGCTGGCCCCTGGAGCAAGGCCTTTAAACCCAGCTGCTCCGGGGAGCCTGTACTCTGACCCCAAGCTTTGCTCGCCTGTACATCTACATAAATAAATGTGATGTAAATGTACTATGTGTATGTATGATAAAGCACATTTATTTTTCACCTCATTAACCTTGTATGTTTTTTAAGATATTCACACACAAATTTAACCTTAAGTTCATCTGCTACATTATGCCTATTAACCATCTGAAACACTGAGTAAGCTTATCCCCTCTAGCAAACTTACTATAAGTCTCTGTCTGCTGTAACAGATGGACAGATCAACAATGTCCTACATAAGTACGCTACAATATCGTTACATTTGAGAAGGTAGGAGGAACTGCTTGCTAGCTTGAATGTTCCTGATGGCCTCCAGACCACCAGGCAAGCTATTCTTAAATCTGTGGGAAAAAAGCAGATCTTGAATGGAATGACATGAAAAAGATAGCACAACACGCCGACTGGAATATAGCCATAATTTTTCTGAGCAGAGAGACATGTTATTTCTTAATCGTTGTGGTGCCAACTATTTTTTCATGTTTTCCAGTTATGGAACAGCTGATAAGACACAACTGAGCCGCTTCGTCAACATCCCTGACACCTACCGAAGTGATTTTTGGACTGACAAGAGCTTTTCATTCACGAGATGTCACAGACATACTACAGCGTCTGCCATGAACCTGTGTTGCCACTAATATTGATTCTGACCTCTACGTACAGCATCAAACAAAATCATATTTTGCAAGGTCCTTTTGTACAATAGCATTCTGTTCACAAGAACGTGATTTTTCCTTCATTCTTTATTGCATCTAGATTTACAGCTCAGGCTGAATTTCAGTCTAAGGTAAACAGTTCCTTGAATGACCAGACCTGAAACCTGTCCACTGAATAAAACATTCAAAAGATTATGTATGTGATTTCAGTAACACAATAAGTAGAATATGATGATATTTCCCTGCATGCATATCCTGGTCTTAACTATCCTCGAATGAACTCCATTCAAAATATATTAATTTTAGGTAACGTCCAACAGATCTGAGAGTAACGTTGTATCATCTGCATTCCGTTTAGCCCATTGGGAACCTATTATTTGTAACATTTTCTTATTTTCTGATTAAATTATGGATTATTAATTATTATAGGGAACAAAGGTTATATTTAGCTGACACATAACATCTACTAAATGCATTCTTGTTAAGAAACAGCTAAACAGAGATTACTGGTCATTATGGGGGAAATGGCTATATTTAGCTAATCACACAAATAACATATACTATATTTATTCACATTAAGGAGCAGCTGGATAGAGATCGCTGGTTGTTCTGTGTAACATTTAGCGGAGGGGATTTCACGTGACTCCCGAGCCTTTGAAAATTTGCAGATGAAGGTGCTGGCCCGCCTACTTTTTGATTGACAGTCTTCTTGTCCCGTGAATCTATTCAAGGCCTGTCCTGGGCAGTTGGGGTGTCGGGAATCGCCCCAGGAATAGCACTTGGCCGTCACCTACATTCTGGACTTGCCGAGATCCCCCTCGTTAGCTGAAGCCAAACGTTCGGTTAATTAGTCGAGAATTCACCGGAAAATGGTCCACTGGCCCCTTCGGCGGGGGTGACGTCGGGGAAGACTCAATCGTAAGTTTCAAAGATGTGTCTTTCTGAATGGATGCTTCCTTCAGCAAAGCTGGAATGAGGGCATCTAGCCTTCAGACAGACCAGCCCTTGCATGCATTAAAAAAGCCAAGTTGCAATTATTATCAAAGCTAGTTGCCGTTTCCTTCCCTAATCAGATCAGCTGGATGGTTTATCGCAGACTAACAAAAAGTCTGAATTCAGAATTATTACTTCAATGCACACAATTCAACAGCCAGTCCTTTCTGCATGACCAAACATGTTGATGTTTATATAGGCCTGTGTTTACACTGAAAAACATATATGTACGCATAAAGACTGCAAAGGAGATACTTTAAATGTTTTCATAAAACAGGAGTCAGAAAACACGGAGAACTTATTTAATCTTTGAACATAATTTTGACATGTTTTGAGTTACAGTGCCACCTAGTGATGTTTATATAAAGTCTATATAACAAACACGTAATACAAATATTTAGCAAAAAATACACACAGATTCATAAGTTAAACTTTCCCTACATAATGTATAGTTCAGTGACAGCAATCACCTTAGAGAGTTGCACATTATTTTAACTTAATAAGGATCAACAAATACATAAATCTTATTTAAAACGATATTAATTCATGATCAAAATACAGGATATAAATGATTGTATTACTGTAAATGTTTGTTTATTCATTACATATAGACCATGTCTGGCGTTCAGATTTAATGCATATAAGTAAAAGACTAGCTTAGAGAAACATAAAGATTATCATTCCTAGACTGCAAAGTATTTATTGAATATTTTGTTAGAGAATTAGACATGAATAAGAAGATTCGTGACTCTCATATGTTTTAAAAATAACAAGGATTAGAGGGAAAGAAACATGTTTTAATTACTTGAGGTTGGTGTGAAATCACGATCTTTAAATTTGGTGAGACAGCAGGAAATTTTTAATATGACTATATTAAAAGTATATGTTGTAGTAATTAATACCTATATATTGACAAAATCAGTGATTTTGCGGTCAAGTAAAGGAGTCCAGTTATGCTAAGTGAAGTGATATTAATAACGTACTAGGCAAGCAATAGCGAAAAATCAAAATAACAAATAAAGAAAACTAGGTATTGTTTTAGGGATAGCCAACAACGTGGCCGGGGAGTGTAGAAATGTTATGGTAATCCATTTGCCTTAATCGGTCTAATGATTTTATTATTATTATTATTATTATAGGGTAGCCTATCGGTGGGTTATAAGGGTTTTGGAGCGACATTTAGGTCTGCGGCGGGACAGCCTTTACTGGGCTACACATACAGCTAAAAGTCAAATGTCAGCGCCTATAGTAGCAATAATCAGATGAGCATAATGAGCACCTCAAACGCGGCCCTGAGCACCGTAATTATTCATGTTAACACCGCGGATATAAAGTGTCTGATCAGATCTGAACTCCTGGCATGAATCAGCATCCCCACGATACAATGACATGGTGCGGTTTTAAACACAAATGGCCTGCAAGCAAGGAAATTTGTTTCTATCAAGACCCCCATTGAATTCTCTGGAGTGGGTGTTTTCCATGTGCGTTAATCCGTAAATATATATAAGACATAATGGATACCTGATAGGGTGTTTCTATAGACGATTCAGCATCAACTATTATTTATTAATTCTATTATGGATCATTTTAGATGGAATGAAATGGCGAGAAACTGTAAGGTACAGCATTTCACATAGATGAAAGGGCATTTTGAAAACGCCTCCATATAATATTTTTATGAACTGCGACCAGCCAACAAAATTCCCACGAAAACACCGCCGTGGGTGTGGAAAGAAGGACAATCACACCCCTGTGTTTCAGTCGGTGGGCCCGATTCTACAGCGCATTTCAAACCTTTAACCCGCCTAAAATTGTGACTTTGAGTTTTCTTTAATGGACCTTTATAGCTGCCAATGCTAACAATCTAGTTACAGGACATAAATGTACGGCATCGTCGAGATCAAGGAGTAATCCTCCCTGTTTCATCTGTATAGTCGTGCGGGGGGTAAAAGGGATCGAGCAAGGCATTTTAAGAGGCAGTATCTGATCATAATGGCTAGTTCTGATAAATAAATGAAAGGCCTTTTACAATTCTACATGGGACGATTTATCATATTTAATGCCGTGTGAAATGGACCCCAACCGGCCTGTTATTTGACTTCTTAACATGCCTCTCCCTCTCTCTAACTGTTACTGTGGAAACCAACTTCGCCATGATCTTTCATATACCTGCCAATCATCGGTCCTGTACAGCTTACATCGTTACGAGTAGGATCTGCTGTCCCCCTGCGATGCAAAACATTGAAATTGCAGCCCTGCATCGTCAGTGCATGAGGCGCTCGTGTCATATGATCAGCCGACGGCTGTTTTGCGTAGTTATTGCTGGAACATGATTAAAACGTGCCATGGATGTTGCATGGATTGCAAAATTGGGAGATAAACAGCGACAACAACAAAGATAAATATTACATACGATCAGATGCAACTCTGTCAAATCACCGGGGTCAGATACAAAATGATACTGTAAAACTGTAACTTAAATGGAGACGGATGTCCGTGGCTGGAAATGAATAGGCTACCTGACTGTATGGTAGAGAGACCCTGCAACAAACGGGCAACGCGTTCATTTGAAGATCCAATTCATGTTACTCACAGCAATTGGTGACAGCAAAGCTGTTAGCCACTTCCAGATTGTCGATATGGGGCGTCAGCCTAAACTCGATTGTGGCGAACTGAACCATTCCTATTCGAAATGCACTATACTCCTGGTCGGCGCCCCTCGGAAACAGCCCCCCTGCGGAAGACAGACGGATCAAACATCACATCCATATGGCCAAACCTGCTATGCATAGTGTCAATATACTACACAGTCAATAATTAAAATCCGTAGTATCGAAAACCATGTTAAAATAATCACCTGTACGTTTAATTTTTTTTTTCAAGTTTTGATCTTATCAAGGATTTTCTGAAAAGATATCGCAATGGAGATTCGTTTACACATAGGTTAGTAACGTGCAGTGAAAAAAAACCTATTTATACCTACCGATCTGTACGCTGGGAGAGCCACCAAACGCCAGTCCCCATAACACAACAATTAGGCAAGCAGAAAAATGCATACTCTTCCGCATTTCCAGTGAGGAGACTGTGACCACATCCACCGAATATTCCCTGGGTATCAGCAATCGTCGTTTGTTTTTTTATTTTTTATATAATTTTTTACATCCTATTCATAATGAACGTGTATGGAGCAGTGGCGTCTTGCTGCTGGGTGACTGAGGCTGAATGAGCGCAGCTCCGGCTCCAGCGGAAGGGACGCTGCTGCGGATCTGTCTCTCTGTTCCTTTGCGGCGCTGTCCCGCTGAATCGGTACTTACGCTCGCACGCAGGAGCACTGCGCCCCTTTTCGCCGCCGACTGGAGGCCGTTTCAGCATCACGGACGAGGGGGGAATGTCAATGAGGGCGTGAAGACGGCAATAGAGACGAGATCTCTTCATCAGACTAGCAGGATCTGCCCATTCGTTTAGCCCATGTTGGATTTGTATAATCCTTTCATAAGAACGCAAGAATTATTAGTTACAGGACAGAGATGATGAAAGTCCAAGTTTTATCAAACAAGGAAGTGCACCCCAGGCTTTCAGAATTAAATTAGACTTATTGGGGGGGAATCCATATGTGCCAATGTACCGATAAACTGCACGTTTATATGTCAGCACAGATGCAGAGTGGTCAATTAAAACCAAGCCTTTATTTCATGGGTGACTGAAATTAAATTTATGCATAATAACCAAGGGCATACAAGACAGTTTAATATTGGGGGGGGGGGGGGGGTCAAAGCCAATATATCTCATTAAACATGAAAACTTCTATGGAAATTTAGAATAAAATGCCTTAAAATAAAGGACAGAGTAACAGGACACAGGTGCTTAAATGGTTTGGGTATAACCGTCGCATGTACAGTGACCTGCAGCGAAAACATTGGTAAGACTATGTCTGAGTAGGAGACTGAATGATTCAAAGAAAGCAGATATAAAATGAGACTATATGCCATGAAATGAAGTATCTAAACTTCCTTTGAAACCGCGACAAAAGCCAAAAGTTGTCATAATCATACAGCTACAGTGACTTGTAGGACCATGGACAGGGCCTTGTGCAGAGAAGCAATAGACACTAAGAATCCATTGTTGCCGGACGTTAGCATTCTGCTAAGCTACATCGCCTCTGGGATCCCAAGGCCGCTGCTCAAGGAAAACCGTCTGATCGCAAGAGAGAACTTTCATAAGATCCCCAGTAACGTGCTCACATTTCCTACTTAAGTACAGAGTGTCAAAACAATTTTACTTGGATAGCGTAATTGCTGACACAATCCTTCTTTGCAATTATTTAGCTATTATACAAACCCCTGTCATTCAAGAAGTGCATTGTTTTGGCAGACTCGCCATGGAAGCCATTATACATTCCAGAAAGCTTATACGTCCATGGCCAGTTGTTCGTCAATCCCAATTGAAATGAGTCCTAATTCACTGTATGATACAATTCAAAGTTATTTAAATAGCATTCAAAACACAATATACCAAAGAACCAGTTGGCATTCTTTTGAGAAGCGGTATGTATATGTAATTAGTCAGTGTGTTCTGGCACAGAAGTGCATTCTAGAAATCCCAGAAGACTAAGTGGGAGTTTTACTTACACAAAAATATTCTGAGGGCTGAAGGAAAAATGATTGGCTATCGCTCTGAACCAATCATATTGTAGAGGAGGTGGGTCCAAGCTGCCACAGGAGATGGGACCAACCAATCAGATGTCTTGGTCCCGCTTCCTCTAGCTTCTTGGACCCACATTCTCAATATTCTGATTGGTCATCTCCCCGAACCAATCATTTTCTCCTTCTGCCCTCAGAATATTTTTGTGCAAGACAAACTCTCAAGAGAGAAGACTAACATTACAGAAGAAGACCCTGTCAAGCAATGCAAAAGCTTGGTCAAGAACTGCAGTGGCACAGTATTGAGCTATATACATTCCAGTAAATGGATCAGTGTATAGTAGAGGTCCATACCCCTGAAGGTTGCTGGTCCACGTCCCAAGCCGCCTAAGTCTGCCTTAGAAAATTCTGCAACCTGAATTGATCCAGTCAAAATATGTAAGCTTCATAAATGAGTAAACCTGTCAGTTAATTTGGCTAAAAGCCTAAGTAAAGTAACTAAATCATAATGAGAAAAGCAGGGTATAAAAACACTGGATTATAGATGACAAGCTACAAGTGGATAATGTTTTATTAAACACAGAGTGGATGTCTAATTCACTTCCAGTGAAAATAGGTCTATAATAGAGATTCACATTGAGTTTAACACAGACACCATGACAGGCAAGATGGAATGTGAGATGGAATGGTTGAGGCACCACCTAAGGGGGTGGGAAGTTAGATGGAATGGTTGAGGCACCACCTAAGGGGGTGCAAAGTGAGATGGAATGGTTGAGGCACCACCTAAGGGGGTGGGAAGTTAGATGGAATGGTTGAGGCACCACCTAAGGGGGTGCAAAGTGAGATGGAATGGTTGAGGCACCACCTAAGGGGGTGGAAAGTTAGATGGAATGGTTGAGGCACCACCTAAGGGGGTGGAAAGTGAGATGGAATGGTTACAGGAAGCACCATGGAGGAGTGGAGCAGAGAATCCCTCCCATATTTAGCCAACTGGATGTGTGCTTGAATTTAAGGGGATTTTATTCATTGTCAATACATGCAACTTGACAATAATAATACTGTTTATCTGTGGCACCGTTTGTCTGTCACCGCACCTGGGCAAAATAAATCACCATCATTATATCACCTCATCCCTGTCAAGAATTTGTTTTTCCATTTCCCAGCTGCACTGCAACAGATATCTTTGTGTTTTTTGAGAAAATGCCTTAACACACCTACCACGTTCAGTACCTCATTGTTAGCGAGCCTAATCCTGACAGCACTGAGCACATTAAAATGAGCTTAAGAACAATGGGCAGTAATTGTGGCACCAAGGCAGTACCCATACTTTTGTTGCCATTGTCTGCTCTGAAATTTACATTGTGTTACTGAAGTTTACTTATTAATTTTTACAATAACTGGCTTTGTGACACTATAGTATATGTCAGCATTGAAACTGGATCTTACTTTCCTAGGCATTCTAGATCTGCATGTGTGTGGTTGGGCAGCATGACCTACAAGTAAGCTATATACAGCTATGCATATGTCATATACAATGTTACTGCTTGCATTCTAATTGCTTCCATGGCAACCTGTGATGTCACAAAACTGTTACTGGACAAGGGGTGTTTCTCAGCACTAAGAACGCAAAGATTGTACTTGTGGTCTTGGCAAGACTGGTTTTGCTAACTTGACTCCCAAAAACGAACTTGAGGCACAATGAATCAGGAGATTATTCTTGTTCGGAGAGGATGCAACCAATGTATCCTTGATATTTGGGGCAGGGCAAGAACAACATCTGGGAATTTTTACCGTCCTCTGTATTTCTGTTCTTAGTATTGGAAGTGGTCTTTGGCAATGAAAGATGATATAAAACGGGTACAAGAGAACACAAGTACTGTCAAGTATGCATATTGTGAAACACCTAAGGTCAATAGAGAATGTTCTATTCTCTCCTTATTCCCTGCGCAGCTTACGAAGAGAGCGATGCTTTTCTTCTCGGTCCAAAAGTTATGGAGAATAAGAATATGGATAAAATCAAGGTCAAAATCAGCATCAAAATTAAGGTCAGAATAATGAGTGGAGGAGCCGAGGATGGGGGAGGATGATGGTGGAAAACGTGATGAAATAACTCTGGACAATGTTGTCATGTCCGTAAAAGAGACACCAGCTACAGACGTAGAGTGCATGGAGGCTGAAAAGGAGAGCAAGTATCTCCCAGGAGAGGAGAGGCAGGCACAGTGGAATAGGCAGAATATGCCCATAACGGAAAGGTGGAGAACGGCTTTCAGAGAAGGCAAAAATTCAGAGGAGAGGGTGGAAGGGGGATGAACCTGAGAGGGATGAACTCCACCAGGGCTCTCTCATCTGAGACCCCACCATGGAAGGAATGGAGAGTCATACTGGAAGAAATCAAGGATGGAGGAGAATTTTGAACTAGGGTCCGATAAAAGCCATGAGGCTCAGCTCCGTCACAAAGCTCTCCAGCATGACTCAGGGGGAGCGTTTCCACTGGCAGCCCCAGTGCGACAGAAGGCCCAGGCGGGAGCCACAGCCCAGAGGCGTGTGGCAAACGCTGCCCCCTAGAGAGCAGGCAGGGAATAACACCAGGAGGCCTCGACTGGTTTATTTAGATCGAGTCCAGCAAGAAGACAGATCTCGGTACAACGGAAATCGAGGACAAACACAGAAGTTCCAAGAACAGCAGCTGCGACATTCAATCTATAATCTCATGGGTTATGGCCACAGGAGGAAGGATGCTGTGGTCATTGAGTACATTACTACTTTTTGAAGGTCGGAAATTATGCATCAGCAATATTTATTTACCAAAGCTCTCCGCAGGAAGTATGGTGAGGAAGAATCTCATATCCACATATCGATGTTTTATGTCTTTGACAAGCATAATAATTTCCATGATCCTTTTGAGCTTTCATATATGTGAGCTGATGTGACAGAAAACACTCACTGATTAAGTTCAGCCAATGCCATAGTACAAAAACATAAATGAGTGTATGACTGAAGATACATAGTGAAATTTCAGCCGTAACGGCTACCCAGTAGCAGTGGTATAAACTTGATGTGGCACATTTCCTCCGTTCCAGCAACATTAGCATATCAGGTTCTGCCATTGCTGTCATTAAAAATAAGCTCTCTTCTCTCCAAACCTCAAAAAAATTCACACTGACCATGATGCACAACCCAGTCAATTCTTTCCAGCACCCTTTCACTGCACACTGAGCTAATCACCATTTTGGTTTGTTTCGCCCCCCCCCCCCCCACCCCAATCACGCACCAAAATGGCCGTCTTTTTGTTTCAACTCCAGACCCTGAATCAAGTCTTACAGATACATGCAATGACTATCAGTAGACTTCTGTGTTCTGAGACAAAACATCCGCAGATCTTACAAAAGGCAGCTGTTTCGAAATCACAACCAAACGCTGCTCGTGCGTAGGATAACATCAATTCATCCTTTCAGTAACCATTTATTTAATGGGGGAGGTCACAGTCTGGACCCCTATCCTAGAATGCACCCGGTATGAGACAGACTGCCTTCAGGCCCGAGAATGATCTGTTCAGAACAAAACAGGCTCTTTCCTCTCAGCTGCCTGCTTTTGATCTTGACAGAAAATTCCGCAGAGATGATTGAAAAGATGATCTTGTCTCTGTAAGCTTGAATCCCCGGTCACATCTTCAGTGGCCGTCCTCCCTGTTACTCTTCTCTGAATGTTCACATTTCCCAGAGCTACTCTAAGGTCAGATGTTACATTATTTCCAAGAGCATGAAATCGAAATCACTTCCCGGCAATGTATCGTTAATCCTGGACGTTAGTGCCCCACTCTGGTGATCTTTTTTAAAGCACAACTGAATTTCACTGCTCTAGTGAACCTTGCTTAGAACTTAATTGAACCTCCATAGATGGACTCTTGGCCGCAACAAAAACTAAATCTCCAAGGTCTCTGTTTGCAGCCAACGCTCAACCATAGCACAGCACTTTCGCAAACTCTTCTCCCTTCACGGTTTCTCTAGGACGATAAGCCTAAAATAATAATACACAGAAAATAGCTTTGCCTACCGCCACTCTCCCCAATGCACAACAACTCTGGCACTATTAGTTTATCACACATTGTTTATCTGAGGACTGCAGAACCCAAATAAACTATCACCATGAACACTGCCAATGTAGCTGTGGAATCAGCGGGGCTGTGAGAATGTTGATTTACAAATAAGTACTTTACTAATGCATGAGCAAACAAAAAAAAAAAACAACACTATTTAGTGTTACTATTAATGTCGCAACATGTTGCTTCGTGATAGAACCCGGGACACGGAGCAGGCACCGTTTTGGGAGTGGGCCGTGGTGACGTTTGGGCTCTCACTAGCGGACAGAACCCGTGGTGGACGTTAGCTAGCTTCACCATGGTCTAGTGGCTAGCATCTCCCACAACATCACTACACCTCAGGATAGAACCTAAACAGACATAGCAGTGGCGGGCACTCAAAGAGCACCTCGGGGAAACGCTCTGCAGGAAACACTCTTTACTTAGTTACTACATGTAATGCTCTGCACCTTGACTGAATGGGAAAAGTAACAAAGTACAACAGAAGGCCATTGCAAAGATTCCCTCTCAGGGAGTAATTAAGAAACGCACAGCCAAGAGCAGCTGGGATATTTGTGTGCGACGGAGTGTTTCTGACAAGCTGTTCCAAAAATTAACCAATTTGATTGCTATCAGAACATATACGTTGTAAAACTACTCCCATGGAACCCAGAAATGTTTGCCGTTGTGATAAGGGTTGATTCTGCTCGGACCACCGGTGGAAATAAGGCATTAAAAACAAACTCACTTCTATTTCCTGACTTTAGAGATGACGTTCGAATCCTCCAAGCATGCATGTTTCGCTCATTCTTTTCAATGATATTTTCTGGCCAATAGCCATATGGCTCATTTGCATAATTCCCATGATTCCTATCAATTTGGTGCCCCACTCACAATGTTCACATGCTTTCATGCAGAGCCTTGGAACCACCGGGGAAATTTAATTTTGCCGCCCCAGTTGTGTGAAATGCAGTCTATTCACGCTTCTCTTTGATGGACTCATGAAAATTTATCTCCTTTAGACATCGTCCATGGACATACAAAATACAATATACGACCCGTGTGCGACACGAACACCTGCCGGTAGGTGGAAACGCTGGCATCAGAACTATATATGGTTATATATGAAAGATGCTAAAAATTGTGCTGCCCTTTGGGTCAAGAAAAAAAATGCCATGATATACGTGGCATGTGACACGCAGAATGTAGCACAGAGAAGGAGAAATATGTCAACCCACAGGACTGCGTTTTTATATTGTGTTTTTCCACTTACCGCCAGGGTCAAACGAGCAGCCTGCGCAAGGCGTATCCACGGGAGACAGAACAGGAAACAGAAAGCGCAAACGGCACTCCCACGTTCTTTCAATTATGTCGTCTTTATTGCCTCGAAGGGATGCGGCTCTCCCCCCCCTCACCTATAAAGGTGACACATTCCTCGCATCTGCTCGGATGGGTCGCCGTTTTATTGCGGCGAATTGCCATCTGTTGCCCCGGGGTGAATCGTCGCTGCCATTTCAGTAGCCGAAATATCGACCTTCAATGAATAAATAAACTATCGCACCTTTCTAAAAAGTATTCATACATCTATCTCGTATCATTTGCCGATTTACGCGTAGATGAATTATACATTCATAGTTATATATGCATACAAATATACATTTTTAAACGTGCATTTGCTTTAAAGTGCTATTAGCTTTTTAACGTGGCTATAGCCTCTCCCACACCTTCAGTCACGGAGGGACATACGCAGGGAGCAGTCACCGGCATTCCGGAACGTACTGTACACGCCGCGTTAGGCCCAAAGCACACGCGAAGCATCGCCAAGCCGTCTACCCAATCTAAAAGCAAAGCGCTTTCGCTTATAGCCGATTATGCTTTTTTTTGTTTGTATATTTTAATCCCCCTACCCTAGAAGCTTCAACTATAAAATAAGCGACTATCCTGCATTTATTGCAAAACGCACGTTAAAGAAACTAAACAGATGAAAACAAACAACACCGCAGGGGTAGAGCAAAGTGCATGGAGGTTCTCGCAGGTAGCTACATTCCTCACAAGGTCGTCACAAGTAGACAGACCAATATATGACATTAAAGAATAGGAAGGAGAAGGGGAAGAGGGCGCGAGCGTAAAGGTCGACCCGCTTGGCTGCAGACGGGATGATCGGTTTCGGAGGAGCCGGCTTCTTGTTGTTTTTGGCCTGCGATTTGCCGACACCGTCCACTTCTATAGGCTTTCCGTAGCAGTCGAAATTGGAGAGTTCGAAATCTCGGGGGAGCGACCCCACTATGCTGAAGTCGTTGGACCGCAGGTCGGACTTGGAGGTGCACACCTTCTTGCACCTGGTCTCCACCACCTGTCAAACGCAGAGCGACGGGTCAGAGCAGACGGAAGCTTTCGTCTTCATCTTCAAGCATGAAGAAAAGTTCCTGAATCTTATGGCCTGCAGCTGGGCTGCCGGAACTGAGCAGATATCACTTAATAGATTAACAGCGAGCGTAAAAATAGACGTGTTTAGCACTGTATTAGCAGAAAACAATAGCCGGGACAAAAAAGACAATGTCACATGCATTTGCGTTGATCTTCGATAAGCGTGTAAGGAACATCCATCCATCTACCATATTTATCCATCCATCCATCTACCGTTTATCCATCCATCCATCTGTCCATCCATCATCCATCCATCCATCTACCCTGTTTACCCATCCATCCATTCATCTGTCCATCCATCATCCTGTTTATCCATCCATCCTGTTTATCCATCCATCTATCCATCTATCGATCCCACTTATCCAACCATCCATCTACCCTGTTTATCCATCCATCCGTCTGTCCATCCATCATCCTGTTTATCTATCTATCCTGTTTATCCATCCATCCATCCTGTTTATATCTATCATCCGTCCTGCTTATTCATCCATCCATCAATCAATGTATCCATCCATCCATCCTCCACTCATCCATCCATCCACCCTATTTATCCAGTTACAGGGATACGGTCAGCCTGAAGTCAATACCAAGCAGCACACCGTATAATGTACAGACCTATCCCAAAAACCCCCAGCATCCAGGCCCGCTCACCTGGAGTGCATTGGCATGTATGGGTGTCCCTCCCGTGCCGTTGACCGTGTTCTTGGCCGGGGTCTTGCCCTCTGCTTTCTCCTTGCTGGCCAGCTTGGCCTTCTCGGCCTCGATGCGTTTGGGGCTGTTGAGCATGACCTGGACCACGGCGTACTCCACCAGCGAGGAAAAGCCAAAAAGCAGGCAGGCAATGAGCCAGATGTCGATGGCCTTCACGTAGGACACTTTGGGGAGCTCAGCGGCCAGAGACGTGCATTCGGAGGACAGCGACAGCACTGATAGGATACCTGCAGGGACGGTGGCCAGAAAAGGGCCAATCACACAGGCAGGGGGCGTGCTACAGCTGTCCACACCACATCCCATAGTGCACCACAAGCTGATTCTATACATTCAGCCACTTATAAACACAAATGACAATCTTCAATCCTGCATATTCTTATATTATATCGATACATCATTATACAGAATCAAAGGGGCATGTTTCTTAATTTGATGTAGCTTTGAAGGGTAGCAAATTGGTTTAAAATGTTACAAGCAAGAAGACATTTTATACGAGTTCTTGCACCGTAAGTGACGATGCACATTATTTCATTCTTGTTTAATAAAGACAGCAGATACTATGCTAAAGAACTGAAAAATACGGATTTCAAATATGCTGTCTTGAAAATAATGTCATAATGTCCAAGGTCTGATATTTTGTGCAAATATACTATAATACAAATGTATTGTGTTAATAATCAACCTAATCCCAAGTGTCAAACTCCAGTATTTTTGACGGATGAAAGCTTCTAAATATATTTATTATCTAGCCAATGCTCTTGGGAAGTTCGAAAAGAAAAATCAATCCGTCGGAAATACATGCATGCAGTTTAAGCACCAAAGAGTGTGATGGACAGAGCGTGACTGACCTGAAATGGAATCATTTACTCAGATGTCATGAACGCATCCAGAGTTGGCGGGGCGGGGCGTGTGGGCGGGGGGGGGG